AACATTATTTAAAACAATTTATAAATATTTAGTCTTTTATGAGTTATACACTAAACTAACAAAAATGATTTACAAAACAACTCTATAATTTATGAACTAACTTCCTATCACACCTCAGCTTCTCGTTGAACGTGCAAACAATTGGGCAATTGGCCATGTCCATGTGAAAATATTCTATATTGATTAGGTATTTCGTATTTTGTTGGAACAAGAAGGTATTTCATATTTGGTCCATGTGTCTATGTGATACACTCATGGTGTTGTTGTTATTGTATAGGAGAGCGGTTACTATCTAGAGCTCTCCTATAAACTTGGTTGGGAAACTGGCCAAATGATTTGCTCCATTCACATGGGTAGGGATCAAACCCCCAACCTCATACTTAAGCGACAAGGTGCTGAACTACCATGCCAACCATGTTGATTAAAATATATTTCCAATAAATTCCATCAAAATTAATTGTTAGCCAATAAAATGTGTTAAACGTACGCTTACATATATACATACATAAAATATGTCTCTAAAGGAGTAACTACAAATAAATCACTAATAATTAATTTTTAGATTTTATACATTATATAAACAATTTATAAATAATTAGTAGTTTATAAGGTAGGTATTGGATTATACGATAACAAATCCTTAGTAGAAAACTAAAAATCAATCTCAACCTTACATCTGGAAAAATATAATGCATCAAATCAGATTTTTTTAAAAAATTACGATAATATTTTCGTAATTATCACAAATTTTACTATGCAAATTTGAATACCAAAATTGATAATTTTTAGACATTTCTATATTTGTACATTTAGTATTCACATTTTAAGTGAAGTAGAGTATAATTCGCCTTTTTATCACTAGGCAATTTGCACTACTAAAACAATTTTGTAGTTGATGAAGAAAGCTGATAGTAGGCGAATTATACTACGCTTCACATATTGTTTTGGTAGTGCAAATTAAATATACTCCGCTTCACACGTTTAGTAAGCAATTTTTAGACTTTTCCATAATCACCTACATATATACTCTGCATGTGAGTTGCATATTTAGTTGTTAAAGATTGCATATTTAAGTGTTAAATTAGTTTTTCGAATGAGATTGATGATACTTACGAATATGACACCAAACTTTTTTGTTTTGTTTTTTATAATATGATCAGATTTGTCAATTTTTTACACATGCAAAGCTAAAATTTATTCTTAATTTTTTCATAGAGATGTGTTCTTATGAGATACTAAGCCTTTTAAGTTATCCACTAAGACCATCCACAACCATTGCACTAAATTCTGCACCAAATTTTACACCAAAAAAGAATATTCTCAGTATATTCTTACACTACATTTTTTCTATCTCCAACCCATTACATCAAATTTTATTCCTACACCCCTCATAAAGTTTATATTTATACTTTTATTCTTTTAACAAAACTAATAGTTGTAATTTAATAAATTAGACTTTAATTATATTTTATGTAATTTTATTTTTAATTAAATTATATTTAATATTAGTTTTGTTTTAATCGTCTTGATAAAATCTTTCAAATGATATATAATTTTATTTTAATAATTTGGGAGGAAATGATGTTGGCCTAGGAGATTATTGAATTAAGTATGTTTAAAGTAGTTTTAATTAAGTTTTATGTGTTTGCTTTAAATTAAGTATGTAATTTGCTTTAATTTTGTTATAATTAAGTTTTATGTGTTTTCATTTTTAATTAATCTATGTTCAATATTAGACTTATTTTAATCGTCTTGATGAGATCTTTCGAATGATATAATTTATTTTTAATAATATAAAATGTATAGTTAACAATTTAACAAAATATACAAATATATTAAAATAAAAACAAAACAAAAAAGGGAATTACAAAAGAAGAGGGGTAAAAAATGAATATATATATATATATATATATATATATATATATATATATATATATATATATCCAGATTTGGCGCAAGGTGAACAGTGGCGCAGTACTGTTCACAGTGCGCCATTTTTTTGGTGCGATAGCGAGAAGGTTGGAGGGCATTTCACGCCAAATATAATGGTGATTTGGTGCAATAGCATGAAGATTGGAGATGGTCTAACTAATAAAAAATATTTATTGTTTTAAGTAAAATAAAAATTAATAATTAAACAACTCTATAATTTATGAACTAACTTCTCATACATCGCAGCTTCAATTCGTTGAAGGTGCAAGTTGGTCATGTCCATGTGAAAACATTATCATATTTCTTTGCCATTTCTTGTTGGTTTCTTTGCAAGACCGAGTCAAAAGTAATATCTTTAAATAGAGTAGTCAGTAGTGGCTTAGTGGACACTGGTCATTGATGATTTGAACAATCTTTGGATATTGATATGGATTGAATAGTCCAAGTCTATTGAGGATATACATATACAATTTACCAAGTTTGCATACTTATTAATTGTTAAAGACTGCATATTAAGTGTGAAAGTTTACATAGTGAAATTAATGTGATAATTACTAATATGCCATCACTCCTTAAAAAAAAAAAAAAAAATCCAATCTGATTCATCAAATTTTTACAAATGAAAAACTGAAAATTTGTTCTTAACTTTTTCCTAAAAATGTGTTCTCATGAGATCCTAAGCCTTATAAGTTATCCACTAACTAATAAAAATTATTTACTCCGTACTAAACAAGTCTATAATTTATGAACTACGGGGTGTTTGGTTGGGATGAAGGAAATGAATTGTAACTCAGAGGGAAAAGAGTAAGGTAGGAATAATGTAAGAATTCAAATTAAATTGTTTGGTAGGAAAGAATAGAATTATTGGGGATGAGAAGAAAAAAGGGGTATAAAGACTAAAATGTCCTTGTGTAATAATAATAATAATAATAATGAACAATGGTATTTTTGTCATTTCTTACACTTTTCTTTTCCCAAAAGTATTGAATTGCAATTCAACAGAATGGGGAAATTACAATTCCCTCCAACCAAACACTGTAATTGAAACCTTCATTAAATTACAATTCAATTATAACTAAATTACATCCAACCAAACAACTCCTGACTTCTCATCACAGCTCAGCTTCGTTGAAGGTGCAAGTTGGTCATGTACATGTGAAAACATTCATATTTCTTTGTCATGTCTTGTGGGGACCGAGTCAAACAGTAGTGTCTTTAAGTAGAGTAGTGGCTAGTGGACACTCATAATTGATGATATCAACAATCTTTGGATTGAATAGTCCAACGTAACTCACATGCGGAGTAATAATAGTACAGAGTCCTTACCTTGTTCAATTTTATTTTATTTTTTTTGTTTTTTGTTTTTTGTTTTGAGAACCCTTTCTTTGTACAAATATGAGATTCATGATGACGATAACTTATTAGTTCATATTACATTAGAGAGAAATAGAAAAATATAGATTAAAAATCTATGCAGTATATCTCTTTTTCCTAATTCTTTTTCATAAAAGTATTATACATTTCATACTTAGACTAGCTTTTTTCTTTTTTATTTACACAAAATTTGTCCTTACTAATTTTTGCTTCAACTTTGGCGACTAATTAAAGATTAATCTTATTTATTCTCAAATGTATTATATTTTATCTTATAAGTAATTAAAACATATTAAATATATACATACATACATAAAATATGTCTCTAGAGAGTAAAATAAAAATAAATTATTAAAATATTTTGATTTAATTTTCTGAAACATTATTTAAAAAAATTTATGAATATTTAGTCTTTTATAATTTATTTTTTTGAGTACAATCTTTTATAATTTATACATATAATGTACGTAGTATTTTTTATATTCACATGCTCACCATACAATAGTTATGCTGTGCAACCGTGTGCACCATACACATGGTGCACACGGTTGCAAAATGACATCATTTTGACTAAAAACGTACGTTCCATTTAAAAAAAATTCAGTTTCGATTCTCCTCAACAGCAGTATTGTGGATATATAGTTATGAATTATTGTGGATATATAGTTATGACTTTGTGGATATATAGTTATGAATTTGTAGATATATAGTTATGAATTTATAGATATTTAGTTCATTCATTGTAGATATTTAGTTCATTCATTATGGATTTTGTGTTATTTATTCACTGTGGATATATAATTATAAATTTGTGGATATATAGTTATGAACTTGTGAATATATAGTTATAAATTTGTAGATATATAATTCAAATTATGCACACAAAAATATTATTTGCTGAGAATTGAATCTGAATTTTTTTTTTTTAAAGTGGAATGCACGTTTTTAGTCAAAAGCACCTTGTTTTTGCAAAGCATAATTTGCGCTCAAAATAATAATTTGCCTAGTGGAGAGTGATAGGGCCCAATGGTCCTTTTCTTCTACGCATTAATTGTCTTTATTATTTATCAATTATTGCTACAATTTTTAGCAGGAGCGCCCAGCTACCTGAAGAATCCGATGAAATTTTCTGAGACGACTTGTACAAAGTCACGCCCAATCGTTATACCCTACACCACGGCGCGCGTAGCACTGTGCGCCGCGCACCTCCCAAAACGACGTTATTTTGGGATTCATTTTGGGAGGCGCGGTAAGAAGTTGCTGTGATTATGTATATTTGTTCACACAATTATGTATATATGTTCATACAATTATGTACATTTTTATACAATTATGTACATTCTTTTTATACAATTATGTACATCCGAATCAGAAAATTTGTGTGTATTATGTTAAGAGTTGATGTGTATTATGTTAAAAGTTTATGTTTATTATGTATTATGTTAGATTATGTGTATTATCTTTTAAAAAGAGTATGTATATTTTGTTATATAATTATGTACATTCATGTATACAATTATGTGTATTCTAGTATAACATTATGTACATTTTTTAACAGGGTTTTTTTTTAAAGAAAAAATAACTGCGGGGCGGGAAATTTAAAAAAAAAAAATTAAAAATTAAAACGACGTCGTTTTGCATCTGGGCGCACAGTGCAACGGGCGCTGTGGTGTAGGATATAAATTACCAGTCACGCCTATTGTAGTTTTGTTTGTTCATCATATTTCATATGCTTTTCAATCTCCCTTCTAATTACTTCCCTGCATGTGTTAGAGGAATCCGGCCGATCGAATTCCGGTCATATCAATATATGGCTTGATAGATGGCTTCTACCTCTTCTTCTGCTACTGCTTCGCCATCCACTCAGGGATGGACCTATGATGTTTTCTTGAGTTTTAGAGGTCCAGATACTCGTAAAACTTTTATAGATGTCCTTTATGAGTCGTTAGAATGTAGAGGGATTCGCACTTTCAAAGATGACAATCGACTGGAGAAAGGAGACTGCATCTCTCTGAGCCTACCAAATGCTATTCGAGAATCAAAGTTTTTTATCCCAGTCTTCTCCAAAGGCTATGCTTCTTCAAAATGGTGTTTGGAAGAACTTGCAACAGTCATGGAATGCCAAAAAAAGGAGCAAATTGTGGTGCCAATTTTCTACCACGTAGAACCTTCAGATGTCCGGAAACAGGAAGGAAGTTTTGGAAATTCGTTCAAAGAATCGGTTGAAAGATTTGAGGAGGAGAAGGTAAAAAGATGGAAGAAAGCCTTAAAAAAGGCTGGCGAACTCAAAGGGCATCATTTGAAGAATGACTATAACGAGTATGCTTTCAACTTCCTCTTCTCATATGATTCATCTTTAATTATGCCTGCCCTTTAATTTGCTTCTTTAATATTTGCTCAGTTGTTTTGATCTGCTTACTTTCTTCTTTTATTTTTAATTTCTATGCTATGCAAGTAATGGTTATAATTATTGTGTAGTTTTTTATTGTTTGTTTTTTTTTTTTTTTTAAGTAATACTGATTCTGATATAATGCAGTATCTCAAACTTATGACGATATAGAAGAACAAAAAAATTGTTTTGTTTTTTTTTTTCCTCAATACAGTAGTATTTAATATTGAAAAGGAAAAGATAAAAGTAGTGTGAATATTTTTGTTAGTATAGACAGACGTTCATTAGAGCATCCCTAATAGCGGTTTATTCTTTGTTTTTCAAACAGTAGAAACTAAAAGGATATATTTTAAACTAATGTGAAGGGGAGATTTTTGGGTGTTGAGTCTTCCAGCAAAATTGAGTAAAATATACTTTGGTTTTATGCAATATACTTTAAATTAAGGCACATTTTGCATAAAATCAAATATTTCACTCAAAATAGGTCTATATATAGGGTAGAATCATGAACATAAACACAGTTATCAAACTCCTCCACACTTAAATCTTTGTTTGTTCTCAAGCAAACACAAAGAATAAATTACAAATCAAGCTCGAAAGTTACTCATACCCTCTCTTGCACAACCTAACATACCACAAACCACTTGTCACAAAACAACATGCCACAAGAGTAATCTCAGTTTGGCGCACGCAAGATTCATTCTCAAGCCAATACCCAAGCACCAAAATTATTAAAGTGCGTGAGGATTAAATGTGCACAAATACTAAGTTGAGATTATGCAAAAGTCGGCTTTGAATAAGATCTCATAGGCTTGCCCTTGATACTCCCACTAACTCAACTCTAAGAATGCATGCTAAGATCAAGTAGGTCTTTATTAAGCTTGTAATGAGGCTACATGTGAATGTCTAACAATGAAGTGGTATGGATAAATAAACAAAAGAGAGAATTTCACACTTATTCACAATTGAACTAGAAGAGAAATGGCAACTTTAAACAACGGAGTAAATTACAATTGACACAAAACAACATCCTAGAAAAGTGGGGTTTTGACATAACTTTAATTTCAACACAAATTGGGAGCAAACTTCAAGCTTTTATTATTCTTTTCTTCTTTTCTCATTTCTTTTTCTTTTCATCTCTTTTTTCAATACTCTTTCTTTTTCTTTTCTCTCAACTATAAGCAACAAATCAGTTTATTCAACTTGTTAAATAATCTTTATGCGCTATAACTTGAATGCGGAAGTACAATTAACAATGAATCGCATTTAAATCAAATCAATCAACTAAACAATATTCATGATCATGGATTTTCAATTAAACAGAAGTAAAGACAAAACTTACTTGTTCCGTTGGAGATGTATTCTTTATATTGACTTAAATCAAGAATGCTTCACCTCTCTGATCCGTATACCTTAATCACCTCCTGATGATATGGAGACTAGAAAACTTAGAGACTTGAAACCGTAAAGATCCCTAGAGTTTTCCTGGGTATTTAAAGATGTGATGAGAAACATCGATCTTTCAAGAGGAAAGGGTAACTTCATGTTAAGAATAGAAATTCCTTTAGGAATGTGAAACCTCCTTCAAGGAAACCCATAACCTTTTTCCATTATACATCTTTTAACCCTTTATAAACTTAAATTTTAACAGAATGAGGGGGGAGGGAATTTCACCCAGTAATTTCGCCTTTACACATCACCAATCATCACCGTGAGTACCTTATGGAATTACAACCTTTTATTATATAAATCAGTGTTAGGAAATTATTACTTCTAACACAACTAGCAAAGATTCTCACATCAAGACAAAATTATCTAGAGGACTGCTAACAAAACAACTCCAATAAAAGTCTCTTCTATGAAAAAGAACAAATGTTTTATTCTCTCAAGGGTGGAGGAAAATATTTTTGGCTAAAGGCTAAGGGTTTGATGATGGGGATTAACACAAAGAAAAACAATCACAATGAAAGGGTAAGTCTTTAGCACTTATAAAACAAACAAAAGGGTCAATGGGGATACAAGGGGTAATATCATATATAAGGGTAGACTTAAAGGCTATGGGCTAAACAAAAAATAGCCGAAATCACTTCAAAATATGCAAAACTGGGACTTCACTTAAGGAGTAATGAGGCAAGTTCTAACAAAACACCCACGACCGGAATCACATATAAGCATTTACTAGCAATGCATAACACACAAGATCAAGAATTTATTCAATTAATGAGTGGTTAACAAAAATATTGGCAAGGATTAGATCAATTATGCGTTACACCTCAAATTATCAATCACAAATTGAATTGCAACAAGTACCACTACAACAACCACAAACCAACAAGAGAGAGCAATTGTAACTGCATACTATGACAAGTAACGTATTGACAAAAAGAACATGAGTCATCCAAACAAAAATTTTGAAAATTACCCCAATTTTAGGCTCCCCCAACACTTAAAAATTTACATCGTCCTCTATGTAAAACAAAAGAAAAGGAGAAGAAGGAAAAAGAGAAAGATAAAAAGCAATAAAACAACACGAACTAAAATATGCTAAATAGGAGACTAAAATAAGACAAAACTAGTAGAAAGCAATAAACAAAATGCAATATGAAAGATTGAAAGATAACATGGGGTATCTGAAAATATCGAATTTAGATATTTGTACCTTGTCGAAGTAAATAAGCTTGGCATATATGTTTGGAATAGATTCCATTTTTTTTAGAGAATTGAAAAAGCACTATCTCGTTGAAAGGTTGTATACATCCGCCCTTTCTGAACCCCAACGCATTTCTTTAGACAAAGACTTTGTTTTTTCCTTTTTTCGGATGGGAAATCTTTCTCAGAACATGGAATGTGAATCAAACCTATATTTGAATTGAAATTGGGACACTTATGAAGGTTCTTTCCTTCTGAATCAGATAGATTCATATCTGAAACATGAAGCGCTAAGTTTAACGTCGCTAGCTCGACGTAACCTCTTTTTGGAGTGTTCATCCCGGTTGGTTCGTGAGGTTTTCCTCATCACTGGCCTCAACGAATTGCTCCACACAAGTCTTGAATGCCAAAAGATACTCTTTCATCAAGGCCTCCCAATCTTTGATATTGACTTGCATAATATGAGCCTTTTTCCCAAATAGAATGTCAGTTTCGTAAGCAAGATTTTCCACCATAAGACTCTTTTCCAAGTTTGTATCTTCATTACCAAAGAAACTTTTCCACCTTTCATGCCCGTTGGATGTCATCTCAAAACAGGGGTCATGATGTTCATCCTCATCAAAAGATTTGCTATTAACCATATAACACTTTCCAACCACATTAGATTTTGGCTCATCAAGAACATCAAATGCAACTTTCTCCTTCCCAAAATAAAAAACCATTGACCCCTTCCTTGCATCAATTATAGTTCCAGTTGTGGCTAAGAAAGGTCTCCCCAAGATTATTGGAACATCGAGATCTTCTTTAATATCTATCACAATAAAATCACAAGGCACAAAGTACTTATCCACACAAACTGGGACATCTTCAAGAATTTCAATAGGGCTCCTAGTAGACTGATCAACAAACTGTAGTGTAAGTTGGATCGGTTGTGGCTCCCCTAAATTAAGATTTTTGCAAAGAGATAGAGGCATTACATTAACATTGGCTCCTAAATCACAAAGCGATATCTTAATGGTATAGCCACCAATAACACAAGGAATTGTGAATTTCCCTGGATCCTATGCTTAGGATCGATACAGAATGTTAGATATATTAAATATAATATAATGTATCCATATATAATAGGTCAGGAATAGAATAACATTCCTTGTAATAGACATATTCCATCGTTTGGTTGGATCATTTTGTTATGGGAATAACATGCCTAGAAATGAGCTATTACCTCACAAGGGGAATAGTCATTCCTAGGGGGGCCTTGGTATTAGTTATTCCCACACACACACATAAATAAATAAATATATATATATATATATATATATATATATATATATATATATATATATATATATATATATATTAACTGTACAAGACTCCTTAATTATGGAATCTTGGCTCCTAAATTAAGTAGCCTGCCAATCTACATGCCTAGCAGATGGGCATTGCAAGCTTGCCTAGCGGATGAGCATTGCAATTAAAATTATGAAGCCTTGAGTCTCAAGGCTCCATTCCTTACTTCTCCAACCGATGTGGGATAAGTGAAAAAATAAATATAAATATAAATATTTATTTGTATAATAATAATAATAATAATAATAATAATATTATTATTATTATTATTATTATTATTATTATTATTATTATTCTCTCTATCACACACACATGCATATACATGTATATAAATATAAATAAATAAATAAATAAATATAAATATAATATATATATATATATATATATATATATATATATATAACATTCAGTATATCATAATCATATTATTATTATTATTATTATTATTATTATTATTATTATTATTATTATTATTATTATTATGTATAAGGGTATTTATGTATTTAAAACATATTTCATTTGTATTCCTTTAACCAACCAAACACTGGAATACAATTACTAAAGTCTATTCCTTCAGCTAATCAAACAACAGAATACAATTCTTATTCTATTCCTTACCTATTCTATTCCATGTGGAATAGCATTCCTATTCCCTCCAAATTTATTCTGTAAACCAAACGTGCTGTAAAGGTAACATTAAATGCAATTCTTCTCTTGCAAGTCGAAAACCTTAGCCCCAAAGTTTTTCCTTTACTCAAATCTTTGCCCAAGCTTTTCCGTTACTCAAACCTCTGCCTAAACAATTTCCCTTACTCAAACCTATGCCCAAGCATTTCCCCTTAAACTTTTGCCCAAGCAATTTCCCTTATTCAAATCTTTGCCCAAGCTTTAGCTCCTACATTTAACTTTATTATTTACAAAATGTTACAATTATTGATGTTCAATCTTGTCAGATACGAAGCAACATGTGCAAAAGAAGTTGCCGTCGACTTACATGCTCGATTGAATAATGCATCGCTAGCCTATGAGGTGAACTTAGTGGGGTTGCAATCTAGAATTAATAACATTGTTAACTGGTTGAGATTTACATCTAATGATGCTGATGCTGATGCTGATGCTCGGTTCTGTGGCATTTGTGATATGGGAGGTATGGGTAAGACAACAATTGCAATGGTTGTTTTTAACAGATTTCTCCACCAATTTGATGGAGCTTGTTTTCTTAACAATGTTAGACAACACAATGTCATTGAATTGCAAAAGACACTGTTAACAAAAATCCTCAAGGAAAAGTCAGGAGTAGAAATAAGCAATGATCTCAATGGAAGGGCGATGATAAGGAAGAGGCTTCAAGAGAAAAAAGTGTTGATTGTTCTTGATGATGTAGACAACTATCTGAAACAATTAGACAATTTAGCAGGAGGTCGTGATTGGTTTGGTAGGGGTAGTAGAGTGATTATAACTACAAGAGATGCAGCAGTATTTCGTTCCCTTGGAGTTAATAAAAAGTATATTCACTCAGTACACAAATTGGGAGAGGAGGAAGGTCTTCAACTATTTAGATCGTATGCCATTAAATTAAAAGCTAACACTGGTGTGGAACAATTCTGTCGACCAGTTGTGCGTTATTGTGAAGGTCTTCCATTAGCTCTTAAAGTTTTGGGATCTTCTCTTTCTGGACTAGAGGCTACTGAGTGGGAAAGCATTTTAAAGGATCTCAAGAACACCTTCAACCCTGAAATTCATAAGATACTTGAGATAAGTTATGATAGACTAGATTCCAAAAATAAAAAAATCTTTTTATATATTGTATGTTTTTTCAGACACGAGGAGGAAAAACATGTAAAAGACTTGCTTGAAAGTTGTAATTTGCTACCAGCCTTGGGTTTGCGTGTGCTTATAGAAAAATCTCTTATATCAGTCGAAGAAGGAAAAATTGAGATGCATGATCTAATCCAAGAAATGGGTTGGCATATTGCAAGACGTGAGTTAGCTATGAATCCTAGGAGCAGGATTTGGGAGTTTAAGGAGGTTGATGATGTGTTACGCGGAAATATGGTAATGCATATATATATATATATATATATATATATATATATATATATATATATATATATTTATTTATTTATTTATTGAGTGCTACTGACTATGTTACAATGTAGTATGTGTTCATATCTACTTTCTAAACTTATTGAAAAACAAAGAGTCAATACCGCCCTCACAAAATGCATATATTTAGATAGTAATATGTAGCAAAATTATTTATTTATTTTTGTAATCACACAATTATATTATTTAATTAAAATAATGATCATGCATATCTAGTAAGATTATGTTATGTCGTGGTTTAATTATATTCATTCATAGCTAATTAATAAGTTAATTGTCAAAAACTTTGAGATCGAGCGGCATGAGTCTCTCCTAGATGATCGCGAGGCCATGTCGTAGGTCAAATTTCAATGGAAACATGAAAAAGTATATATGAACACATACTATATTGTAGCAGTAGTATTTCTTTTTGATATCCTTATTATGTATTGCATTAGAAAGATTAAAGTGTGTACTATTTTATTTTCTTCTTTCAGGACTCTACTGAACACATAGAATGTATTGTATCCCCCTATACATGCGGATTTATGTGGGAAAAAGATGAGAATATTAGCAGTGCCTTTAAAGCTTTGAAGATACTCATAGGTAAACGGTCATACAATAAAGAGGATAATAATTTTGACCTTGTTGTCAAGAATAATTATCAGCTTCCTAGCAGCTTGGAATTTATTCATTTCCCACATTATCCTTTCCCTTCATTACCCACAAGTTTTCATCCCGACGGTAGGATAACTAAGGTATGGTAGATGATTCTATCCCGACTCACTACTTTGTGTTTATCAATTCTCTTTCTTAATCAAATAGCTTAAACTTATTTTATTCTCCATCTTATCTGGCAGGAAATAAACAAGATTACCTATTTGAATCTTAGCTCTTCCAAAGATTTGCTAGAAATTCCAAATTTTGATATGATGCCGAATTTGAAAAGATTATACCTTTCAAATTGTTACAATTTAAAAGAGATTCATGCATCTATTGGACATCTTAAGAGGCTTGTTTTATTGGATTTAAGTTATTGCCGTAATCTAAAGGAGCTTCCCTGCTTCGTTCAAGTTTCATTTCTTCAGTTTCTTAAGCTTGAACATTGTAGCGCATTACAAAATTTTCCAGAAATCAAGACAAGTATGGGATATGTAGTGGAGCTGAATTTAGAATCCATTGGAATTAGAGAACTCCCCTCATCGTTCCGACAACTATGTGGGCTCACCAAGTTACGCTTGTTTGGTTGTGATGATCTTGTCTCTCTTTCTGATGAATTATGTGAGTTGGAAAGTCTTAAAATTCTTGATATTAGAGAATGTTACCAATTAGAGTTATTGCCAGAAAACATAGGCAACTTGTCAAAATTGGAAGAGCTTCATATATTTGGCACTGCCATTTTTCAACTCCCATCTTCAATAACCCGGTTGAGCTCACTTGAATGCTTGTGTTGGGGAAACAACCCGGAGGGAAACAACCCGGAGTTTGATGAAGAAGAGAGAAGGCTCAAATTTGTGCCTAGTGTATCAGGTTTGTGCTCACTGAAAAGGCTACAACTCTCTGATTTTAATGCAATCGACGAAGGACTCCCTTCAGATCTTGAATACTTGGTCTCGTTAGAATACTTGTGTCTCCGGGGAAGCAATTTTGTTGATTTACCTGACTTCAGTCAACTCCCTCGCCTTCAATATCTTGACATCAAAGGTTGTGGACAACCTAAAGGGTTCCCAGAAACTATAAGAGAATTTGAAGAGCAAACAGATCTCCCAGAAACTGCAAGAGAACTTGAAGAGCAAACAGATCTCCCAGAACTCCCAGAAACTGCAAGAGAACTTGAAGAGCAAACAGATCTCCCAGAACTCCCAGAAACTACAAGAGAACTTGAAGAGCAAACAGATCTCCCAGAACTCCCAGAAACTACAAGAGAACTTGAAGAGCAAACTGATCTCCCAGAAACTACAAGAGAACTTGAAGAGCAAACAGATCTCCCAGAAACTGCAAGAGAACTTGAAGAGCAACCAGGTCTCCCAGAACTCCCAGAAACTGCAAGACAACTTGAAGAGCAACCAGGTCTCCCAAAACTCCCAGGAACTACAAGAGAACTTGAAGAGCAACCAGGTCTCCCAAAACTCTCAAAAACTACAAGAGAGCTATATGCAGATTTTCGTTTTGCCTCTAGAAGAAACATAACTAAGTTATTAGCAGAGTGCCCAGAATTGCATGCAGTCGCATTCTGTTATGATGATAATCATCCATTTATGGTGCCGCCAGAGTATTTTTTAGCTCGGATGTGTATTCGTTTTCCGCTTCCTAGAGTTCCAAGAAACACTCCTTTCAGTGTTAGCTATTCACTAGCGGATGATCACACTCCTTTTTTTTTTGACAACGATGATCACACTCCTGATGTCGGTGCCTTGAGATCATTCCAATACCGATGCTATCAGTCAAATAGCATTTCCATTGATCTCATCAAACGCTCTTGGTATTGTAGAAGGTTTGCCGGATTTGCTGTATATTTCATCTCTTCGGGATTTGATATGTGGGGACCACACGCCGACAAAGACATTCATTGTGTTCAGCATTGCACAGTCATAGCTAAATTGTCACACAAAAATAATAGAAAAGCTCTCCCAACAGAATGTGTGATTGCCAATGCGAACGACTGTACATATGGGGAAATCGGACACACATGCTTTGCCTACATACCATTTAGTAGTTTGTGCCCTGAATCTAGTGTAAACCCAGATGATTTTTCAAGATTTGAGGTGAAATTTATGAATTTAGAAGCAACTGCAGATTGGGGTTGTAGTTTGTTATACTACCAAAGGTAAATATATTGATTTCAATTTATCTTTTTTTTTTTCCTTTCATTTACCATCTTTCTTGAACTTTTTAATACTCTTTAGGTTTCTCTTTTATTTAGGCCAATGAATTCGTATCAAGCATACTTATTTATTTTATAAGAAAAGTATTAAATTCTACTCTTTTATTATTGAATTAATAAACACAGTTTACCCATAGTGCTTTTATTTTTTATTTTTTTTCCTTTTTTCAAGAGGAAAAGACTAGCAAGTTGGGATGATAGTTGTTCATAATGCTTTTACTTTTATTTTACCTTATTCAGTAGCAAAAGACTAGCAAGTCCGGAGGATATTTGTTCATGTACTCATACACTAGCAAGTGGGGAGGTTATTTGTCCAGGTACTAATACTTTGCTCCTTTGTACTGTTACTAGTTATATTGCATGCATTGCACAATTAGAATAATTTCCAACACAAAAATTAAAATAAGTAAATATTTAGTACAATTTTTAAATATTAAATTTAATTAATATAAATAAAAATAATTATTTTTAATATAATCAAAATGAGTATTTTCAACTTGTAATAGGAGTAGTAGTAAAGATGAGTATTGTCTTTAGATCAGTATTATAACTGAGACTAAAAATTGTATCACAACAATTTTCATATTAGAATAAATTAAGTCTTCTTAATGCCATATTAATGAGTTGGAAAATTTTAATTTATATTTTGTTAAACTGACATGATTATAATATGATTATTAATATTGTTGAAGAGTAAGTAAAGAGTTATGCAATGAAGTTATAACGTACGAATTCATTTATTTTCCTTCTATATATGATTGAGACCTCAATTGTCAATATATATATATATATATATATATATATATATATATATATATATATATCTTGTAAACTCATTGATATTTTAAAATATTAAATTTTTCCTACAAGATAATAAAAATTTTATATTTAAATTCTTACATAGTAAGAAACTTTGTCTCATACATAGTAGATCGATTTATAATAAAATATACATTTTAATTTTAAAAAAAAAATATATAGATTTGGAATATATAGAAAATTAAAATTTGTACTACAACAAATAAGATTTACCAACTAAACAAATAAGATTTGATTTAAGCAAAAAGAAGACCAGGTATTCTTAGAATAATAATAATAGTATGCGGTATTCCATCATATTCTTTTAAAATGAAAAGTCAAAAAATAATAGCTTTCACTCTTTTTAATAAAAAAAATTATAGTTGAAAGAAGCCAATCAAATTAAATAAATATTATTATATATTAATTCTTACCACAAATAAAAAAAATAATTGCAAAAACAATAGAATTTTTTTTTTAAAAAAAATAACATGACGTCTATTTTGTGTATTAATTTAGTTGTAATGATAATAATATAAAAACAAAATGATATCATCGTTATTGGTGGTGGTGTTGTTGTTGTTGTTGTTGTTGTTGTTGTTGTTGTTGTTGTTGTTGTTGTTGTTGTTGTTGTTGTTGTTGTTGTTGTTGTTGTTGTTGTTGTTGTTGTTGTTGTTGTTGTTGTTGTTGTTGTTGTTGTTATTATTATTATTATTATTATTATTATTATTATGGTAGAAAATCTTTTATAATAAATAAGTTAAAGAATAATAATAAGTTAACGGATTATTCCATTATGAAAATTTGTACATAGATGAAAAAGTATAAAAAGATAAAAGATGGTAACTTTACAAATGTTTCAGCATTTTACAATGAAGAAATCAAATTAAAAATTAAAATGTATAAGTTATCAATATATATTATTAGGGATGTTAATGAACCGAACATAAACGAATGGATGTTGTTCGTGTTCGTTTGTTAAGATTTTTGGAATGTTTGTTTTCGTGTTCATTTGTTAAGGTTTTTGAAAATTATGTCGTGTTCGAATTATATATATAAAATGTTTACCTTTATTAACATATTTCTTACGTTCTCACATAAGCAAGTGTTCTCATATATATATATATATATATATATATATATATATATATATATATATATAAACAGAGTAGATATTCCGTATTATATAGTACTATATTAGAGATATTTTATACTCTTAGTGGGGATGTTTGGTTCAAATTTGAATATGTTCCGTATAAGATATCTATGGTAATATGAGCATGTATGATTATATTACATAACTTCATTTTGTTGGAGTTAATTTTGTGAGAATCTTAAGTTCTTCACTAATGTTATATATAGCTAGCTAGTTTTTTAAACTTTTCCATTTAAAATACAGTCATGTACATGCCTACGTGTATTTGTTTATTCTTTTTTTTTTTTAATATATAAATTTATTAATGTCTATAAATATATCTACTAAAACTAAAAAAAAACTTTTATATATACCAGAATGCACAATTGATGATATGGGACCCTTTCACAAGTTGGAATACATGAATCTCAGCGGATTCAAGTTTATGAAATTTCAAAATTTGACTGGGTTCATCAGCAGATTCCGTGTTATTCAATTTCTTGACATCAGTGGTTGTGCAAGAGTTAGAGAGCTACCAGAATTGGCACCTACTATAAGGGAACTATATGCACCATATAATAGATGTTTGGACTTGGAAAACTACATAGCTGAATTGGCAACCAAGTATTCAGAATTATATTCTGTCTCATTCTCTTTTTCTATGCATGTCAATGATGACATAGCCTTTCTAAAACCTGAGGAGTTGGCTAAGAAGTTTATTCCTATCACACTGCCTTTTCTAAACAGAAATACTCCTTTTGCTGTCACCTATCCTTTTCACACTTGGAGTGATGATTATAATATGGGCAGATGTTTCAAATATCCTCACAATGATTCAAACAAGATCTCCATTTCTCTGGATCCCACTTGGTACAATCATAACTTTGTAGGGTTCGTTGTATGTTTTCGCTTTCCAATAAAAGTGAGTTGGGAGTCACACCCAGATATTCGACCTTTTAGGCATTGTAAACTCATAACCAAACTTACACACAAAGATAATGGAAGTGAACATCCTCTCCAAACCGAATGTTTGATTGGCAGACTATATGATGAGGAATTTGATGATGGCTTTGACGATACGGAACTTGTATGCTTTGCGTACATACCGTTTAGTAGTCTGTGGCCTAAATCTAAGGCTATCACGGATACTACTACTCCCAATCATTATTTGGTATTCGAGGCAGCATTTCAAGAGTTGGAATTTTCAAACCATTTCAATGCCGAAGATTGGGAAATTTCAACAGATTGGAGTTGTAGTTTGCTGTATAAAGATGATAAATCATTAATTGAAGAATTACAGCGAAAAAGGTAAACATATTGGGCTTGAAAATTTTATAATTTATCCCTTAAAATACTGATTTTCTTTTAAGTTTTTAATGCCACATATACTCTTTTATATTCAATCTTTTTTTGCAGGTTTTTTTTTCAGTTTAATATTTTATTTAGGCTAAGGAATTATATATTTCTCAAGAAAGGGACAAACTTTTGTTCTTTTTTTGTTTTTTTTGAATGCTACTGACTCTATTACAATGTAGTATCTGTTCATAGCTACTTTCTCAACCTACAGAAACACAAAGAGTCAATAACGCTTCCAATGAGGCTCGAACTCACAACCTCCCTTATGGGACAAACTTTTGTTGTTCTTTCAAATACTAAATTTTTAAAAAACAATGCTTATGCATTGTACTTTTGCTTCTTACAGGGAGAATGGTTCTAGCGAGAGTGATTCAGGTACTCGTACTTCACCCAAATTATATATTACATATTTACATATCATACATATTATTCCAAATTATATCACATATATTTTTATATTCTTTAATATTTTGTATGAACACTTATCCAAATAATAAAAACAAAAATATTGACAAACTCGACTTTGACAATAACCGGTTTAACCATATGTAGCATTGTCAATTATTTTTCCTTTCTACTTCTGATTTCTTAAGTTTTAAATTTAACTTTCTTATAACAAGAAAGTAAGTAAATTGCCATTCTAGAAAAAAAGTAAATTACACAATTGTTATGATTTATGATTTTGAGATCGCATTTTGAATACTTAATAAAATCATATCATTTTTCTTCAATTCGACTTTAAGTCACTATTCACAACCTAATATCCAAGAGAGAAAAAATAATGGGAACATGTTTTATTAAATAATAGGCATAGGCACTAAAAGTTATATTTAATCTTGAAGATGAAGATGAAGAAGAAGAAGAAGAAGAAGAAGAAGAAGAAGAAGATGAAGAAGAAGATGAAGATGAAGAAGAAGAAGAAAATGAAGAAGAAGAAGAGAAAGAGGAAGGATCACAACATACAAAAGATAATGGTGGAGAAGAGGACAACAATCCCGGTACTTTATTCCATACTACATCTACATTATTAGGGATATATACTCTTTAATATAATCCAACAGGGTAGCTCAAGTGGGAAATGAACTCTCTTTGTGAGGGAGAATTTCGGGATAATCCAGGTTCGATTCCCATAAATTACAATCTCCTTTGGGCTAGCTTCTGTGCCTCTCGGAGTGACCGGGATAGACCTGGACCGTTAAACGGACAGAGAAAGACCCGAACCACAATGTGTGGTTTTGACACTAAAAAAAATATACTCTTTAATATTTTATACAAACACATATCCCATATTCCATTTTTGGTCCAAGATTTATAGGTGACAATCTATTTTTAGTCTTTTTTTTTTTCAAAACATCAATTTTTGATCCTAGTATCACTACTGGAAATTAGGGAATTTCCGACCGTCTGAAAGTAATCTTAAATCAAATTGATACCAAAAAGTGGTCGGAAATAGCAACAAAGGTTTTTTCGGATACCAAAAGTGATCGGAATAAGGCTTTCGACTTGATTTAAGATCATTTTCAGGTGGTCGGAAATTCCATAATTTCCATTAATGTATTATTGTGGCATGACTATTTTTTGTCCTCCATCAACAAAACAGTTTAAATTTCGTCAAATACAATGGACTTTTTTTTAGTGGACTAGCGGACTATTGGATTAGGGAGTCTAGGGTTATGAATTGGTGAATAATATATATATATATATATATATATATATATATATATATATTATAAATATTAAAATATATTAGTTATAAAATATAATATAAAATATTGAAATATTAAATATGTATTTTATATATATATAAACAGGCCAGGCCTGCAGGCTCGTAGGTTAGGTCTTTACATATAGGCCTGAGTCTATTTAATTAAATAGGCTTTTAAATAGGTCTAAGCCTGACTTTTTAACTAAACAAGTCAGGCTAAACTAGATCCTAAATAAGTCAGGCCATAGGCCTCTCCGTAGGGGCCTGGCCTATTCTCACCCCTAGTTTCATATGCTACAACAACAGTCCCTATGGTTTTATATGCTATAACACTGTTGATGAGTGTTTTAGAGTAGATTAATAAACTCTTTTTTTTTTTTGGTTGTTTTTAAAATGTTATGATATTACAGTTGTTTTTTCAAGTAATATAATCATTTATATTAATGTTTTGTATTTTTTTTAGTGGTAGGACATAGTGCTAAATCGCCTATCAATATAAATGATGATGAATTAGAACTTTCAGAATATGATGATTCTGGTACTTTATCTTTTACACTATCATACAGAGTATTATATAAATACATAGCTAATAATGCAAATATATTCTTATAAATAACAATTATGGGATGTGAAAGGAGAAGAATGTGAATCAATTGATGGTGATGAAGATGTTGAGGAGTATAAAAGTGATGCAGGACATAGTTCAGGTACTTCATTCTTTACACTAACGCTTTAATTATTCCATATTATATTCTTATTGACCTATAGACTTTAATATAAGTGAGGAATGTGTTCCATTTCAATTAAAATTAAATATGGGTCAAGTAACATGGCGCTATATTTTTTTTGTGGACATAGTAAATTGGAAGGTGTAAGTGTGCATTGCAATTAAAGTTTTAACTTTAAATGAAATTGCATATTTATCATTTTAGATATTTGATGCGCAAAATAAATCAACAACCACAAAATGCAATGATTTAGAGTGAATTTCATTTTTGGTCCTACTGTTATAGGGGTCATTCTAATTTTAATCCACCATAATTATTTTTGTCACATTGCGTCCACTATTATTGAAAGTGTTTCAATTTTAGTCCACAAAAAATCTCAGAGTGAACTAAAATTGGAAATTCGTTTATTAACAAAAATTAAGTTTGCATATTATTCAAATACATGCGTTGAAATTATAGATAGATTATTTTACATTTGATAATTTCAACACAAATTTTTTGTTCTTTTATTTGAGTAATGAATATTAAATTTTTATGATGTCTAAATATTTGAATTTCAACTTTTTTGTTGATAAAATTTTGGCTTATGTAGCATTTATAATGTAAATGTTGAATTGTAAATTTTTAAATAACAATCCATATACCATATTAAGCAAGATACAGATACCAAAGTTAACAAGCTAACTCTAATTTTAGAAATTTGCACGGCTAGAAATTATGAAATTTTTGATCACCAGAAAATAATTTTAAATCAAGTCGAAAGCCTTGTTCCGACCACTTTTGGTATCCGGAAAAATCTTTGTTGCTATTTCCGACCACTTTTTACTTTCGACTTGATATAAGATCACTTTCAAGTGGTCGAAAATTTCATAATTTCCAGTAGTGTTGTGTTGCACGTAGTCCAATTATATTTATAGCCGCCATGGCTGCCTCTTTCATGACAAAAAGGGGAAGAGACAACATTTCCCTTTGTATAATTATTTTTTCCCTTTGTGTCATTATTTGTTGTAATTAGTTATATCTTCTATTTTATTTTTGTACAGTCATAAATATCTTTTCAAGTTTAGCTTTTCTCCTAATTTCTCTATTATTCTCTTTTAGCTTTTTTTCTGATTTTCCCTCAAACTTGTTAATACTCTAATGGATGGACCCTTTATTTTTGTGTGCAATTTCAAGTCTTGTTGATCGGCTTTGTTGACAATTGTTAGGTCCAAATAGAACCAAACTGTGGGATATTGTAGATCAAGTTCAGTGCCGAATAGTTTCCATGCCAAAGTGTTCTGATGCTAAGGTTTTTGAACTATTTTATCTCTATCATTTTTCTTGTAGTTCATATTTCTTACTGACAGAAAATTGGTGCTTGAAATAATAAATAAGGTGTAAGCATTAAGTATTTAATTCTCCATGAATGAATTTCAATACTTACTTGATTTTGATCGAAATTGATTTTGTTAAGATTGCCCGGCTTCTTTATACAAATTCTGGTGTTAGCATCTTGGCTCTTAGTTCAGATGGTATTCAAAAACTATGGAAATTGCCCAACAATGAACAAAATCCAACCGGAAAGGTAGTGAATATATTATGAGATTTTTTATTTTTATTTTGCATTACTATTTATGTTAATGTGTGGCATTAATATTTCGTAAATGAGTTTCTAAAGTATGTGGTGTCTAAAGGCCACTGCCAATTCTATTCCACAACATTGGCAACCAAGTGGTCGTCTTATGGTTAATGAGGTGGATGTCAACCTCGAGAAAGTAGTTCCTTGCATAGCCCTCTCAAATGATGACTCATATATTGTGTCATCCGTTGGTGGAAAGGTTTCATTGTTTAACATCATGACATTTGAGGTATGGCTATCGAACTAGTTTAACTTTTAATGATCACATTTGGCTTTATAAATGATCATGTATGGTGCATGATTAAATTTCTATAATGTATATGTGATGTAGATAAAAGAAACAATCACATCGTTGCCATCTGCATCAACTTTCCTAGCTTTTGATCCTCATGACGATAACATTATTGTAATTGGTACGGAGAAATCAACCATATATATATATGATAGGATAGATAAGGTAAGTCCTCTATGACATATCATATCTTATTGTGTTATGGGTATGATAATTTAAAATGCACGTACTAATTTAATTGATTTTTAAATATAGGACTTGAACGAACTTGGAGAACACCAGAAACCTATCACTGGTCTAGCATTCTCTACCGAGCTTAAATTGCTGGTTTCATCGGATGCTGATGCCCAGGTAAGCATATGTAGGTCGATTAACAAAAGAATGATAAACAATTTTGGCATGATCCCTTCAATTAACAGTACAGTGGAACATCCCATGAGTCCATGCCTAATTATGTAGGGACGTAACAACAAACTTTTTTATTGTAAATTTATGAATTTTGTAGAAACTTCAAGAAGGTTTCAAACTGACCAAATATTTGTGGTTTCTATGTTATTCACTCTGTGCATGCCAAAATTTATTATAACAAAAAATTAACTACAAACCAAGATTGAATTTTTATTTTTTTTTTCAGCTTTGTAGCTGGAACACTCGTTTATGGAAAAAGAAAATATCAGTTCGCGTCCAGTTGCCTACGGGTGAAGTGTGTTCAGGTGACACACATGTGATGTTCCATATTGACCAATTCCACTTACTAGTTACACATGAAACGCAATTGGCAATATATGATGCATCCAAGATGGAGCTCAAAAACCAGGTAAAACGTGTTTTCTCAAATCTTGCAATACGCTAATTAACAACACAGTACCGGATTTAAATTTGAAGTATCCATGTGTTGTTTCAGTGGATCCCACATGGTTCCTTTTCTGCACCAATCTCTTCTGCTACATACTCTTGCAATTGCCAACTAATATATGCATCCTTTAAAGACGGAAATATTGGAGTGTTTGATGCACATAGGTGGTTAAGACCGAGATGTCGTATTGCTCCATCTGCTTATTTATCTCAGGCCGTATTGAATAGGTAAGAGCACCTCCCTATGAATAAAAATTTTGATGATTTCAAGAGATTGCTGGAAATGAAGTTATTTTTATGAATTGAATTAAAATAGATTGATTAAATTTATATCACAAAAGCAATATAATGATGGATCAAAGGTCCGATAACAACAAACTAACAAACAACTTTGGATAATGATGTTGATTTGGCCTGGAATTTTAGAATATATTCTTGCTCTTTTAATGAACAATATATATTCTTTTTCTAAATAAAATGCTAATTTGTCTATGTTATATATTATTGCAGAAATGAGGGTGTGTATGCAGCTGTGATTGCAGCGCATCCACAAGAACCCAACCAACTTGCATTTGGATTGACAGATGGGTCTGTTAAAGTTATTGAACCATTAGAATCTGAAGGAGAGTGGGGTATTAAAATTTTAAATGGTAAGTATTTTATACTTTTTAATAATTTATATGAACACCTATCTATGTAGTAACAAAAAGATAAAAATATTATTGTAAATATTAATTACATTATAACATTTTAAAAAACATCTTAATACAGAACACATTAGATGCTAAGGAGTATTATATACATACATTTATATATATAAATATACATATATGCATACAGACATGTATGTATGAATGAATGAATTAATTTTCTTTTGGATAGAATAAACTATAATTTTTCTTAGCCTATTAAACAAACAAAAAACGGTTTATTAATGAAAAACCAAAAAAATGTCATATTTTGTGACAATTATATCTAAATATTTAAAATTTGACGATTTAAAATTAAATTATTTTTTTTTGTTCAATAGGTCAATGGTTCAATTACTAGTTATATATACGCTCACAAATTATATTTTTTTATATATAAATATGAATTAATGAAAAAATAAGTTCAAAATGATAAATATCACTCTATAAAATGATATAAGCTAAATACACAAACTCGACTTTGACAATGCTAATAACAAGTTCAACAATGTCAAATCATTTTCAATTATTTTTCCTTTCTAAGTTTAGTTTCTTGAGTTTTAAATTTTTATATTTTAAGACAAGAAAAATAGTAATTTGTAATTTTCAAAAGAACAACATATTAGACATTTTTATGGTCTAATTATGATTTTGAGACCGCATTTTGTATGTGTGTGTACATTTTGCCCAACTAAACTCTAATTTTTTTTTTTTTCAAAATATTGAATATATGTTAAAGGGAAAGAAGGTGAAGATGAGAAAATGGGTGATGAAGAAGGTGGCCACCAATGGGAACAAAGAAAGAAGGCCCGTCTTGATAAGGGCAAGGCTCCGCTTATTTAAAGGTCTTTTATTTAAATTTTCTCTTCTTGATTTATGCTTGAAGATTTGAATTGAATGTGTCTTTGAATATTTGATGATTGATATGCTTAGACAAAATTACTTTTTTCTTGAATTCATAACTCGATTAAAATTTTATGCGAGGAAGACTTTATATATTTAAAGTGCTTGATGTATGACCATTTGGATGTCTTAAAGTTTTAACTTGATGTCATCATACAAGTTGAACTATATGGGATTTGCTATGTATTGCCATCTTCCTTCAAAACCTCACATATGGGAATCACATGAGACTATCTGTTTGAGCATTGTGCCATCATGCTATGTTGCAAACAATATAAATTTCTTACAATAGTCTTCAAAAAAAAATTATTAAGTCTAAAATTAAATTTATATAGTGTTTATATGCAAAAGTTGAAAGATTTATGCTTTTTCACTATGTTTAAATCTTTGTCTAATCTAATAGAAAATAAGGAGTAGCAAATTTTAATGGAATAAGGGCCAAATATGCCATCGAACTGCACACGATAATGCAATTAGGCCATTGAACCTATAAAAAAAATTACAATTGAATCCTTAAACTAACCCATTTTATCTAATTAGTCGATTTTCATATTTCTGACAGGTCATCCCAAATTTAAAATATTTTTTAAAAATAATTATTTAAAATTTAAAGAAAAAAAAATGTCTCTGCCGGAGACGAAGAGTCTCCGGTAACTAAGAGCACTAATCTTACCTATGTCACCTTTTGGACCAAAATCTTGACAATGAATATTTGATCGAAAAGTATTCATAGATCCTAAGTCAATTCCTAAAAGATTGCTATGATCAATAAATTATTATAATCTCCTATTCACTAAATTTGAGATTTTAGAAGGTTGAATCCGTTTCTAAATATGATCGATGCAACACTATTGTTTCATAATTGGAACTTTGTAAGTAGAACATTACAAAGACTAAATTAATAAAAGAGTCTATCAGCCTTTTAGGCTAGTCATGTTGTACTTCAATAGAAATATCTGATAAGTGTCAAAGATGCTATGTTTTGTGGAGTATCTTGAAGCTATCTTGTACTATAATTGGAGTTCTTTGAACTTATTATATGTTTAGAATAGCTTCACCACCTCTACTCTCTATTTGTGTGCTATAATTTGCGTTCACTCAACTTGATCTAGCTACTGGGGAAGGAACAGAGTGAACAGACTCCTGCTAATGAAGATTGTGAAGCTGAAGTTGAGGAAAATCAATGTGCGCTTATATGGTGTTTTTGGCAATGTTGCTAAGTGGTTTTACAAGGCATTCAAAGGCGTGGTAAGTGCTTTACTAGTGGCACTGCAATTTGTGTAGCATTGGCTTTGTTTTTGCTCATTTTGTGGCATCGATTCTGCAGGGTAATGCTGGTGTCTTTTGAGGTGTGTTTGGAGTACATTGGCAGTATTTTTGCTATGGGATTTGCAGGGTGTTTTGCTCTCAAGTGTGGTTGAAATTTGCAGTTGGTTTAGGTGTGTGTTGATATCAGTGTTTTTTCAAGTGTGTTGCCGCTATTTTTGCAGTGGACTTTAATTTGTAGCATGTGTGATATCTGATCTTCCATGCACCATTTCTTTCAATTCAAAGGTTTTTGGTATGCTTTGTTATGTGATTTTGTTGTTATTAATGTTGCCATGTGGACAGTAGGTTATGTAATCCTTGGACTTTAGCCTTGTATTCATGGCATTGTTTGTTGACGATTTACTTTGGTTTTTAAATAAGTGATTTGTATGTGAATTTCACTGTCTCTACTTTCTATTTTTTGTTATACGAACAAAGAGTAAGGAGTAAAATTGTGATATTTTTTTGTTGAATATTACGACTTAATACTTAATATGAAATTTTGTGCGACTATAATGTTATGATTAGAGGTGCACGTGGTAACGAGTTGGTTCAAGATTAAACCAACCCTGAATCGGTCCCCAAAAAAAAAAAAGGTTCGGGCTTAACCTGAACCTGAACCAGTTTATAGAGGATGGCAAATTATGTCGTGAACACGTGCCCACCTTGCAAGGTGGGGACGGTTCCATATCCATAATTTCTATACTATAGGTTCATAATTTCTATACTGTAAATCCATAATTTCTATATTGTAGATTCATAAAATTCATACTTTAGATTCCAATTGTTGAACTATGTTTTCACAAATCAGAGAATTATATATTCATAATTAATAACTATACAGTTTAGAAATTATGAATTTACAGTACAGAAATTATGAATCTACAGTACAGATATTATGAATCTACAGTATATAAATTATGAATCTACTGTATAGAAATTATGAATCTACTGTATTTAAATTAATGAATCTATGGTTTAGAAATTATGAATCTAAAGTATAAATTTTATGAATCTATAGTATAGAAATTATGAATCTACAGTAAAGAAATTATGGATATGGAGTCGTGCCCACCTTGCAAGGTGGGTACGTGCAGGGCCGGCCCAGAGGGGCGGGCAACATGGGCACCCGCCCAGGGCCCATTGTTGAAAGGGGCCCCTTAACTTGGATTTTTATTTTTTGATAAAGATAAGAGAAAAAAAATTTCTTGCATGACCATGGATTTGAACCCACAACTTCAAAATTATTATTTAACATTAAATTCACTTAACCATTACAATCATTTAATATAATAATTCAATTAATAGATACTCTGTATATATTAGATAATATTAAATTAATTTATAATTAAACTTCATGTAGCCATATAGGGGCCCAAAGTTTGAATGAGCACTACTCCGAAATTAGTCTAACTGATTTTTTTTTTTAAATAAAGTCTTAAAAAAATTATATATCAATAAAAATTTAAAATTATCCTTTGAATTATTTTCAATTAACACAATCTTTTGAACTATATATATATATATATATATATATATATATATATATATATATATATATATATATATATATATATATATATATATATATATTAAGGGCCCTAGTTTTTACTTTGCCCCGGGGCCTATAAAATGATAGGACCGGCCCTGCGGTACGTGCTCACATCATAACAATCCATAGAGAGTCAGTTCAGGTCCTATAAAAAAAATAGTCCAGAATTCAACTCGAAACCGGCCTAAGTCACTAATTACGGCAAATTATATCATGCACCGCGGTGCATAATCGATTATGCACTGCGCGTCTTTTTTTTTAAATGAAAATAAACGGTGTTTGTTTCCGCCGTTTTGCACCCTTTTGCAAAAAGTAACTCTGTTATTCAGTGTCATTTTGTATACACTGCAGTTTCATTTTGATATAACTATAGTTTCATTCGATATTTATAGACTCAAATATGTGAAAATGTTATTTAATTTTATTTTATATACACTATAGTTTCATTAAAACACAACTACATGATCATTTTGATATAATTACAGCTTCATTGTACAATATACACTCAAATATGTGAAATGTTATTCAGTTTCATTTTATATACACTGCAGTTTCATTTCACTATAACTACAGTATCATTTTAATATAACTGCAGTGTCGATTTAGATATACTGTAGTGTCAGTTGGTGTTTAATACACCAAACAAGCAGACTCCGTTAACTCTAACGGCAGGCCGTTTCTTTACTTAAAGAAACGGCGCCGTTTTTTACCGCGGTGCATATGCACCGCGGTCTATAATATAACGACTGACTAATTACTGGGATGTAGCACTAAATACATTATTGTTGAGATATTTAAAAATAAAAAAAAATTGCCAAATTCTAACTACCTAATGTAAATAAAATTTAAGTTAACCTCTTCTTTTCATGATCTGTAGCCATCATAATTTTTTATTACCTATCAAAGTAATTTTCTTTCCTAACTATTGGTCATCCTCCCCTTATACTTTAGCACTTTGAATAGCAGTTCGATTTACCTTTTCTTCCATGTCTAATCTTAAGTGTGAATAAATTATTTTCATGCATCCTATTTGTTTGAAGAAAACACACACACACATATATATATGTGTGTGTAATTGCATACTAAAGACAAAGCAAATTATAATACTTTGGGAAAAAAAAAAAGCAAAAGCAAATTATAATACTTTAGGAAAAAAGCAAAAGCAAATTATAATACTTTAGTAAATTATAACACAAAG